TAAAGAAGACATCCTTAGCTAAAAGAGCAGGTATGCCCAGCTTCCTGCCATACAAAACTACTCTGGAGGTAAAATTTTTCCCATTGTCACAGAGTAGTACTTGAGGGCAACCATGTCGAGTGAAAATATTTTGATGAAGAAAGGTGGCAGTGGCCTTAGCAGTTTGGGCTGGCAGCGCCACAGCTTCAACCCACTTCGTGAAGTGGTCAATGCCTACCAAAATATATCTGTTTCCACCTGTGGTTTGAGGAAGCAGCCCTACTACATCCAAGCTTATGGTATGGAATGGCTGTTGCGGGGTAGTTGGCTGATATTGGTATCTAGTCTTGAACCGAGACTGCTTCTTACACGTAAGGCAAGCATCCAAGACTTCAACGATGGCTTCCATGATTCCCTCCCAAAAATATTGATCCTTAATCCACTCATAGGTTTTCTTTACTCCTCCATGGCCTAAAGTTGAATGAGCTTCCAGGATAACAGGTACACGTTCTGAGGGCCATAGGTAAGGCAACCACTTCGCCCCCACTTGTTTATACAACTTCCCGCTTTCTACTTTAGTGTTATGGGAGTGCCAGGCCAACATCCTCTGTACAGGCTCATCTTCATCTTCCCAGTCATTTGGGGTCATTAAAAGATCATACAGCCGCTCCGCTTCACTGTTATCTAGGTGGAGGATGGGCAGCCGAGTTAACCCATCAACATTCATGTGGCAGGTTCCAGCGCGGTGTTCAATCTTCATATCATAATGCTGGAGCTTTAGAGCCCAGCGAGCTAACCGCCCCGTAGGGTCCTTCATGTTTTGCAACCATTTTAAAGATGCGTGGTCCATAATCACAGTGAAAGAGGTCCCATACAAGAATGGGCGGTAATGCTTCACTGCTAGTAGAACGGCAAGACACTCCTTCTTGGTAACACTATAGTTGCGTTCTGCCTTTGATAGCATCTTACTAAAATATGAGACAGGATGATCTACCCCTTTTTCATCTAATTGGGCTAGGATGGCCCTGACGGCATAGTCTGAGGCATCTGTAAACAAGATAAACGGTTTTCCATAATCAGGATGCCTTAGGATAGGCCATTTTTGTAACAGCATCTTCATTGTTTCATAGGCAGCCTTCTGTTCAGTGCCCCATTGAAAAGGGATATTCTTTTTTAGTAACCGAACAAGGGGCTCACTGAGTTGGGCAAACTTAGGGATGAACTGATGGTAATACCCCATCATCCCTAAGAATACCTGTATATCCCGTAGGTTTTTGGGAGGTGGCATTCTGGCAATCGCTTCAACCTTATCTTGTATGGGTTGGATACCTTCTTGAGAAATGGTATGTCTGAGGAAGTTTAATTTTTTTGGAAAAAAGTACACTTTGAAGGTTTTAATTTGATAGTTGAGCGTCATAAGCGTTGGAATACCTCCTTCAAATGATCAAGGTGTTCGTTAAAGGACTTCAAGAATATGGTAATGTCATCAAGGTAGACGATAATGCAGGTTAACTTAAGATCCTGCAAAATGTGATCCATTTCACGCTGGAAAGAGGCAGGTGCATTGCACAACCCTTGAGGCAATCGCGTGGGGTTGGAAAAAACCTTCACTGCATATCAACGCGCATTTCTCTTGATCTTGAGGAGATAAATCCATTTGCCAATAACCACTGGCCAAGTTTATGGCAGAGAAAAGTTTGAGCCTGAAAGATGGGCTAGGGCATCATCAATGCGTGGGTTAGGATAGCTATCCTTTTTCATAAGATTGTTTAACCTGCAATAATCCATAACTATCCGATGACCTCCGTTTTTCTTCTTAATTAGCAAAAGGGGAAGGACCAAGGGCTTTGCGAAGGAACTAATAACCCCGCGTCTAATAACTGCGTGAGTTCCATCCTCATTTGTTGCTCCTCCACCTTTGACTTGCGATAAGGTTTTGACCTAATGGGATGGGCATCACCCACATCGATGGAATGGCACCAGCCCTTCATGTGGCCATAATCATTGTCCAACTTCGAAAATATATCACTATACTCATCCAGGAGAGTATGCACTTTCTCTAACTCATCTGAAGTCAGCTCATCCGAGATATGAACATTTGGTAAGGTACATACCAGGTTATCTGCAGGCAGTCCTAAATCAGCCATTGAGCCAACAGAGTGGATTTGTTCAACTTCCTCCACATGAGTTAAAAACCCTCGGCCCACCTCCTGGTGCTTTCTTAAAATTATGTCCTTTTTAGTAAGGTTTCCCAACAGTATAGTAATAGGCCTCTGATAGGCTGGGTCTAAAACGCCAGGCAATACCCGAGGCTCAAAAGGGCTAACTCTGTCAATGCTTAAAAGATGTAATAAGCAGTGGCGTGGGATTTGGAGCGTGATTTTCGTGTCAACCACTCGTTGTTCACCAGCTTAATCACCACCTCATCTGCCACATAAAATGGAATACCATCGCTAGCCTCCACTGAATTAGGCAACTTCTTAGCGTTGTGCCCAGAAGTGACATAATGTAAAGACAAAGCGGAGAAGGGGTATTCAACCAGGCAGGTGTAGTCATTCTTGATTAATTCTTTGTTGGATAAGACTAATGGAACTTCAAATCTCATTAAAGATAGGAACCCCTGCTTCATGTTGATGATGCCTTCAAATTTGATCATAAACTGAGTACCTAGGAGCATATCATAGGAGTTATTATCTAAGGCCACAGCGGGGGCTGATTTGATAAGTTTCCCAACGCTATGGGAAGAGAGGAATAAGAGACAAGGGCGCGGGTGTTGTTTGGGCCCGCAGTTCCAAACTCCTTGATATAATCCAAGTCAGGCAGCAATTTAATCTTTTTCATCAGCTGAGATGAAATTACATTTACTGGAGAACCTGTATTCAGGATAGCCATCACCTGGACTTTGTGAACAACTACTTCAACCTTGGTAAGTGTGCTTCCAAAGTTGGCCAACAACACTAAGACCTCCTTGAGATCAAAAGTAGAGATTAATTTGCGTGCGGTCTCAGGGTGAGTCTCCAGAATAGACTGCATGGTATGCCCTCGCTGTAAAGGGCGAATTAAGCTCAATAGGAGCTGATCAGCATCGCTGGATGTGTCAATAATTGCCATACAACCTATAACTTGGTGGAGGTAGGTATCCTCAGGTATGGTGGTTTCATCTACTACTTCAGCGTTTAGGCGATCAGGGACCTCCACTTCTGCAGGAGCTCCCAATAAATAGTACCCAACATCATCGTAACCCCCTCAGAGTTGGCCTCAGCGGTATTTTTAACCATGGGCAAAGCTTCAATTGAAGTAGGGGAGACAGCCACGAGAGGTTGGGTAATTAGCTTCACTTTAACTGCATTTTCTCAACCCCATTAGTTCTGGAGGATATACCCTTAGGGCGCGCACTTGTTGGCTGAGCTGAAGGGGAAACCACAGTAGGGATCTCCGCTTTACATAAATGAGAGATGTCCGTTTTAAGTTGCACTGAAGAGGCAGGTTTTGCAGGGAGAATAGGCACAGGTGGCCTCACTTCCAACGGTTTAATAGGCCGCAGCTCACCTAAAGGAATATGGGCGACGTCTAACAAAGCCTCTTTTATATCACGGAAGGTTGTAAAGTGGCGTTTCACTGATATGATATGCCTGGCGAGAGAGGGTTGTGAAGCTAACCCTGTTAATATGGTGGCGATAGCATCATCCAGGGTAAGCAGGTTAGACGTAGCCATCCTTTGAGCAGTGAGATAGAAACGCTCAGCAAAACTAATGAGGGTTTCACCCTCATACATGGCAAGGCGCATGAAAGCCTGCTTTTCCCTGTATAAGCTCTGCTTGGATCAGAATTCAGCCAAGAGCGTCTTATTAATATCTGGCCAGTTGTGCTGATGATCCAAGTGAGGAACAATCAACTCTTGGGCTTTGCAGCTTAAACAGGGAAGAATGTACTTAACTTTATGTTTATCAGTGGCGCCATCCATCGCAGCTTCATAAACATACAAATAGGAAGCAATGTTTCCTTTACCTGAGGTGTATCTGTCCTTTATAAGAAATTTGAATGGCCGTTGCTCTAGCTTTTTGAGATGGGAGAAAGAGCTGGCTAGTTGCTTTTCAAGAGCAACTAATCGTGATTCAGAAGAGCTGCTCACGTTTACAGCCTCCATTGCAACTAAACTTTATCGAAGTATTCAGGGTAACTGCCCATAGTGAGCACCAGTTTGTGGGATCCACCAACAGATGCCACAAATTTTTTGTTCAAGTGAGAAATTTACTTTATAAATAAAAGTAATAAATAACGATTTGTTATTGTTTTTTATGTTTTTTATTGTCTAAGCGGGGCAAAACCAAAAAAGGACTTTTTCTGATACTAGTATTTCCTATTTAAACTAGTTTTAAATCTTGGGACCATAGGTATTTGAGACTAAAGTATTATAGAGCTGAGTCATCCAAATTAAGAAATATAGGCTCTCGGCCTATCAGATTAAAGATAAATATTTTATGGCAAAACTGACCCATGTTGTAATGACTTGATAATTTGTATCCAATCACCAGCAAGTAAAATCTTATCATCTTGGAGGTGATCTGACTTTTGTGGTAATGATTTGTCTTAATTTGCATCCAATCATCAGTGAATAAAATCTTCTCACCTCAGAGGTGATCCAACTCGTGTGGTAATGATTTGTTAATTTACATCCAATCATCAGTAATTAAAATCTTCTCACCTCGGTGGTGATCTGACTCATGTGGTAACAAACACCTTAAATTTGGCCAAGAAGTCGGAGCAATTCTATTTTTAGTTCTACCTTATTTAGCCAATTTTTGTTTTTATTTAACTGAGGCAAGCCAACCAGGGGACAGACATTACTGAAAAAAAGAAAGAAATGACATGAAACCTGAACAGGGTCAACTCCATCAAAGAAAGTTTTTCCACCTCCAGATTGGGACTCAAATTTTTCTGGTTATGTAATGTGTAAGGTTTTCGTGTTATTAGACCTACTAACTGCCAATAGCTTCCTTTGGCTGGCACCCCAATTGATGTGCAAAGGGTGGGAAACGAACCCACAACCTTTAGGTTGGTAGCCGTACACCCTTACCAACTCGCCTTCCACCCCTTTTAGCCAAATTTTTGTTATAAATCATATTTTTTGATAGCTAGCATTCCACCAAGAATCTACCAAAGTCTTTTTGCCGTTGGTACTCATATCATTGATAACCCCAATATTATTTAAAGATTGGGCAGGTGTTGAGCCAATCATGGTAGCATATTTGGGGGCATTCTTACCTCCAACATTCTTTTTCAAAAGTTGAGAAGGAGAATGTCTGACATTAAACCCAATTTTACCATCCATTTCCATCCCATTTTTTGCTGACCTATGATGATGCACTGAAGGAACACAGCAATTCAAAAACTTGAAAAATCAGAAAAAAAACACCAAAACCACACCTACATTTAAAGTAACTTCAACCCTTTAGCCATCATATGATGAACTGGTTACAAGGTCAAGAAACCTTACCTCTAATAAAAGTGGCAAAATGAGGCCAATGGGGCCCATCCCCTCGCACCTAAGGTGTGATGGGGGGAGCCTTCAAAATAGGGACGTTGAACATTACTGGACTCAAGGCTTTGCCATCATGGACTAGGAAAATGAGTTTTTTAAGAATTAATTTACCTGTGGACATCCTGGCCATTCAGAAAACAAACTGTCCATATGATGCTGAGGACACATGGGCAAACATGCTCCTCCCCTCCCTTTCCTTTTGGTTGCCGCACTGTGGGGTACTTATATGTGTGACCCATAATTTTAAACTTTGTTTCTACAGATTCATACCTCGATGTCCATGTCCTTGTTGTTTCCTTTTCATGAGACAACAAAGTGCATGCTGTCATTAACATATATGCCCCAAACTGTGCACAAGCTCATCAGTAATCTTTCTCAGCCATTACTTCTCTCCCACTTCCCCCTGACTCGTTAGTGATTGGCGATATAAACTGCTAAACCAACCCATCCACCAACCGCTGGCCTTTGGCACCTGTCACCCTGTAGGGTATGTAGAACTTTGCGTTATAAAAGTCACTTTGGGTCTGTTTGATACCCTACCTAAACATGCACCACTGCTCCACAAAATGTCTCATCCCCATGTGCACAACAGTCAGCTGAGGTTGATGTCCCTCATTGACCTTATTCTTGCCCTGTTTAAATTTTGGTCTCAGGTTGCTCACTTTATGATTATGAAAATCGATTTTCTGACCACAGAACGGTGTTGATTTCCTTCTCTTTGTCTCAACCAGCGGCACAGGTGCTGAAGTGGTGCAAACTTCGCCCAAATGATCATGTTGCACAGGTTTTCCTCATGGGTGGACACTGAAATCTTGGCACTGGAGTTCACCACACTTTTCTGTGTAGACCCACTTTCAACCTGATCAACCTTAAAAGCAAACAACATCCATCAGGCACGCCAAATTCCACCACATTGAACTCGGGCTTTTCTGAAGTCCTTTTGCTCATTCTTACAGAAGTATACCACCTGGAATCTAATGTCCCTGCTGATGGCTACAGTCTGGCTTGGGGTCGCAAGTGGGCATAGGTGTCCACTTTCCTCAACTCACTGGTAAGGCAACACAAACATTGCGTTTGTGCACAGTAAAAAGCAAAAAATATAATTGCAGGCTACATGTGCTCCGCCTATTTTTTCCAAAAATTCTTTGCACCAAGTTAGAGCTTGGCCTGCATACAGGTGAGGCAGACAGACCACTCCATTAAAGAAACTCCAGTGAAGTGGCAATCAAAGTTCAAAATTAATACTCCGAATTGTATCTCTCCAATCCAGTCAAACTAGCCAAAATTGCTGAACTTCTTGAAAGTGCACATATTTGCACCAGTCCCTATTGTCCAGAGTAAAGGAATATAATTTCTTGGGATGAATTTTGAAACGTTGTTAATGGTGCACCATACAGGAAATGAGCCAGGTCCAGATGCGATTCCTTATAAGTTATACAAAAAATATTTTAATTATTTCTTCTCTTTGCTGATTCCCTCAATAAATCAGTGCTTGCCATAAAGACACCTCCTTCCTGAGAGTTAGAAGGCTTTCATAATAACGCTATATAAAAAAGGGATAAGCTGGACTTGGCCAACTGGCGCTCCAAATCACAAACTAACGCAGATACTAAATTATTTATCAAAATAATGACAACTGCATAGTAAAGATGCCTCTGATCTCATTTCCTCAGCAATTTGGTTTCATTCCAAATCTGTCTTTATGGAACAACATACATATTGTAGCCAATACCTTCCAATCCATGGCTACTGGGGCACTTGTTTTTTTAGACCAGCTGAAGGCTTTTGATAGATTTGACTGGGATTACCTCAGTCTGCTTATACAAATTCTACCTCCCCCATTGGTTCATTAATTGGGTGATGTTGCTTACAGAATCTTCCATAATGGCTGTGCGTAGCCCTGGCTTCCTTACTGATGTAGTTCACCCTCAAAGGGAATTCCACCAAGGGGACCATTTGAGCCCACTGTTATAAAACTTCAGCCTTAGCCCACTTTTTCGCAACGTGAATGCCCGCCTTACTGGTGTCCATGTGCAAGGCCAAGAACCAGTAAAGATGTTGGCATTTGCTGATGATTGTGTGGTTGGGGTGGCTAACTTAAGATGCATGCACGCTTGAGGCTACTATCCAGGATTACTCCAGGGTATGTTACGCCACGTTCAACGCCTCCAAAATAAAAATCATTCTCCTTGGTTAGTTCCAAGCCCTCTGGTCACCAGCACCCCATTTCCTACCTGCTTCAGCAGCTAGCTTATGAGCTCGCTTGCCCTGCCCGCCCCATACCACACGCCTGTGCTCCCTTTAATGCCAAAACTCACTTCTGGTCCAATAAGCCATTTGGGTGGGTGGCTGGAGGTGGGAGGAAAACCTCATCAGTGATGGAGCACCATATACTGGATAAAATCATAAAATGCATCACCTCCCTCAGAGCCCACCAAACTTCCCTCACAGGCAGAGTTGCGCTGGCCAACTCTATGCTCCTATCTAAAGTTTGGTTTGTGGCTCATGCTATCGCCTTTTCTCCATCTTTCTTCACCTCTTTATGTGCCCTCCTGGAAGGATGGCTTTGGTTAGGCCGCCCACCACCAGTGCGCCTGGATGTGATTTTAGCCCTCCCCATTGTGGTGGTATGGGCCTGCTCAACTTTAAGGCCCATGCGGCCAAATAATTGACACCTGGATCACTTCAGTAACCAACCCCACACTCTACACCCAAAACTGGTCACATGTGACATTCTCCAAAAATCCTATGCCCTGGGCCTCAACAATCCTACCCGCCCTCATTCTCTGTTAAAATATCTTGACTCACATCCCTCTGCTCTAGGAAAACATGGGACTTCAATAAAGTTCAGATGAATTCTCCCCTCCATGTGAAATGCTCGATGGAGAATATTCATCAGTTGGCACACTGCTCAGAGGGGTCGCCCTAGTCCCCGCTTCACACAGGAAGTGTTAGATTTCAATGATTTACTTAAAAATAAACCAACTTAGAAAACCATCAATGCTAATAGCTTACTCCCATTGATGAATCCTTTGATCCTTCCCAATTTATCTGCATAATCTGATAAACCAGATTCACCTCATAACCTACTTGATTGTTCTGAGTAACCCAATTGTTGTAGCTAATAATAGCTATGATATAATTATATTATGAACGATAAGGGTCCACTTGGGTGAAAAGTGGTCTCACAGCATTAGCTAGATTGCATCTCCTAATTTAGTATGCTATTAATACACTAAGGCGGAATTTTGGGTTCAATTAATGAAATCAATTCAATAAACACTTAAACATAGATGTCCCAATTAAAGGGCGTACTTAGTGCTAACAAAGGCATGCTGATGTCCCAATTAGGGGTGCGTCATCTTTATTGTTCATATATATTATTATCCCCATTTATTGTTATTCATCAAGTTATGATGTAGCTCTAATTGGGAAAATTTTGGTGTTATGTTAGCAACTAAAATTGTACTGACTATGAGAGTAAAGTTGCTTTCAATTGGGATGAGATAATTCTTGTTTTTAGTCAAAATTATGGGCTGAATTGACTTAGGGATATTTCATGATTATTGCCATGACCAGCAGAGGATTAATATAGTTGAATGAATTCATCTAATAGATGAGTTTGGCCTGGAGTTACCTGAGAGGTATATAATACCAGCTCCTGGCTGATTAATAAAACATCATTTATCTAATGATCATTAATAACTACTATACTTTAGTTTATTAATTTTTGCTGTCCATATGTCACCTATCTGATATTCGTATCTGCTGCATTTACATCTATATTAGATAGTTGTGTGCGCCTATAATTCCCAAAGAGAAGTACTCAGTTTACCTGCTGGAGAAGTAGTCCCAATTAGAAAAAAGATTAATTTCCTAATTTTGTATGAAGACAGAGGGTCACATAATTGTTGTTGCCAGTAGACTTAAGAATGCTAAGCGTACCAGAGTTACTTTGTTATTGTCAAAAATTATTAGAAAATCTACTTCCTGATTACAAGCAGGAATTTTATTAGTAAGGCGATATAGATCCTTGACTTCCTTGTTAAGTCATTTTAGCTTGCACCATCAGCTAAAAACTTAACATTTTGGTGCTCACTCAAAAAAACAACTACTAATATGAACATGTACAATCAACTTTCAGAATTTACCTGAAAGTACAGCATTAATGAGATGGAAACATGCGATGTTCAGTTTATTGAACACTTTATATCAAGTCATTATGACAATGAGGAGGGGAATGATTGCTCATTAGAACTAATATCGACTGAACAGGTTCAACAATAACCTCTAATCCAGCCTAGTTTACCCAGGCCAATATCAAGGAAATGTTAGAAACCTTGTTTTGGGGGTTACCAGGTTGTTACTTCAGCAATTGACCCAAGCTTAGGTCTGTTTTACTATATGAAGGACCAAGCCCTGAAGAACGAATTTATCAAAAGTACAGGGAAGCCACCATGGCTACTTTGGGCCGAAGACTCCAAATGAATTAGGTCAACACATATGAATCTTTGGTGACTTTGTACAGCATTTATCAAACATACTCAACGCATTTTTTGC